AACCTTCTTGGTGAAGTTTATTTCTAGGTATTTTGTTGGTTTTGATGCAATGGAATGTTTATACCAGTTATAAGATTCTGGTTTTTGAAGTGCAAAAAAAAAAAGTGAATTAGAGCAGCAAATGGCAAAATTTTTTTATAGGTGAGTTGCATTCCATTGCATATATATGCTACATCTTCTTCATCCATTCATCTATTGATGTGCACCTGTGATGCTTCCATATCTTGGCAATTATAAGTAATGCTGCTGTTGATAGCGGGGTTTATGTATCTTTTTGAATTCACTTTTTTGTTTTTCTCAGATATATGCCCAGGAGTGGAAGTGCTGGGCCATATGCTGGTTCTATTTTTAGGTTTTTGAGAAACCTCCATATTGCTTTCCATAGATTACATTCCCACTAACAGTATACAAGGGTTCTCTTTACTCCACGTTCTTGTCAACATTTGTTATTTGTGTGTGTGTATGTTTGATGATGGCCATTCTAACAGGTGTGAGATGGTGTCTCATGACTTTTGATTTTATTTCCCTGATATCAGTGATGTTGAAAATCATCACTAATCATTAGTGATTAGTGATTAGCAGATTTTCATGCTCCTGTTGGCCATCTGCGTTTCCTCTTTTGGAAAAATGTCTGTTCAATTCTTCTGCCCATATTTTAAATGGGTTGTTTGTTTGCTTTTTAATTGAAGTACAGTTTATTTAAAATGTTGTGTTAGTTTCTGGTGTACAGCATGGATGGACTTGGAGGACATTATGCTAAGTGAAATAATTCAGACAGAGAAAGACAAATACTGTAAGATATCACTTACATGTGGAATCTAAAAAAAATACAACAAACTAGTGAATATAATAGACAAGAAACAGACTCACAGATGTAAAGAAGGAACTAGTGGTTACTAGTGGGAAGGGAAAGGGGCAAGATGGAGGTGGAGGATTAAGAGATACAAACTATCAGGCATAGAATAAGCTACAAGGGTGTATTGTACAACATGGGGAATACAGCAATATTTTATAATAACTATACACGGAGTATAACATTTAAAAATTGTGAATCACTATATTGTATACCTGTAACATACTATATTGTACATCAAATATACTTCCATTAAAATATGATATTGTAAAATAAATACATAAATAAATAGTTAAAATAAATAAATGTTTTATTTATTACCAAAGCAAAAAAAAAAGAAATTAAAAAGGAGAAAAAATTTATTGAGTGCCCGTTTTGTGACAGGCACCGTTCTAGGGGCTGGAGATAAAGAAGTGAACAAAACAGATAAACACCTCTACCCTCATGGACCTTACTGTCAAATGTGAAGAGATGACAACAGAATTAAGTGGCCATGTGTGTGCTAGGTGATGATAAGGGTGATGGAGGAAAATAAGTAGGGGATGCTGGGAAGGGGCGGTCTGCAAATGCAGAGTTCAGGATGGTTGAGTCAAGACCTGGAGGTGAGGAAAGGTGCAGGTGTAGCCAGGACACTGAAAAGGATTTTCAAATAAGAAAAAAGAATCAACTCAGCCCCACCACAGTCTTTACAGCTTACTACCCACTGTGCTGGAGCCCTCACACACACACCATTTGTGTGTTGCTTCCTCATTTGCTGGAGCAAACACTTCCCTCTGATTTCTCTCACAGTTTATGATTATAATATTAATGGATGCATAATACTTGTTTAGATCTATCCATCACGATTCACTAAACCTAGTCCCTATTGTTAGTTGTTTCTCAGGTTTTTTCATTGCAGCAGGGAAGGCTACAGTGGACATCGATTTGTCAACAGTTTTTGTTGTTTTTGTTTTTGTTTTTTTTTGCTTTGGTTGCCCTATTTCCTTAGGATAAACTCCCAGAAGGGAGAGAAGACAGCCAAAGGGGCTGAATGTTTCTGCGGCCTTCACTGCATCATGTATTGTTGTTTTCCTCAGGGGGTGATGCCTGTTTCTAGCTCTAAGACCCAGTCTGTTAAAATTTGGTTCCTACTGCACCTCCCTTTTAACTCCTGGTAACATCCTGGGTCCTCCAGAGCCTTCACATGAAGACAAACACTGACAGCTAGAAAGAGCTGGACTTTCTGGGATGGGGAGTGATCAGGGTGAAGGGGCCCCAAGCTGCCAGCCCCTGGGTACCCAGGCCAGATGCACGATCTGAAGACTGCACTCACGTGAGCTCTGGGTACACATTATCCAGGTACCAGCGGAAGGACTTGCAGTTCATCTTCTTCCTCTGCTCAATCCGCGTGGCCACGCTGTAGGGGGAGGCAAGGCTCAGCGAGATGTGGGGAAAAAGCCCCCCGAGGCCAGCGGCCCCTTCCCAGGCCCCAGGAGGCGGCCCCCTCCTTCCACTTACCGATGTGGGCCATGGCCAGGAGCTGTCCAAGTCTGTCTGCCCTCCAGCCTCAGCCAGCAGCCTAAATTCACTCTCTGACCTGCAAGTTCATCCCAGGGCTCCTGGCCTTCCTCATTTCTCTCCTCAAATTCCTGCCCATCTTTCAAGATCAGCCCAGCCCACAGGGACCATGCATTTTGCTCTCAGCTTCTCCCTCCCTGAGACCTCAGGTAGCACACCACCACCCCATCCTTATGTTCATAGAGAGAGCAGAGCCTCAATGAACTAGAAGTTTCCTTTCCTGCGCTCCAGTTGAGCAGAAACAATCTAACAACAACGAAACCACACTTTAAACATCCTTCCAAAAATTTGGCAAGTAAGAACAATGTTATGTCTCCATGGACACCTTCCTCAGCAACACTGACCATAATGGCCGCTGACAGATGCCCTCACCACCTCTCTAAGCCAGTTTGTTCTCAGGAAAGTGGGGACATGATCACCTACCTTGGAGGGTTTTTGTGAGAATCAAATGAATTAAGGGAACATAAATGCTCAGCACAGAGCAAATGTACTTTCCTACTAAAAGAAATCATGACATAACTTTTTTTTAAGGGATAGATATAAGTAAATAGAGGGAGATTCATTGATGTTCACTAATGTTTTCAAAACATTTCTGACCACAACATTAAGTAAGAAATAAATACATCTGACCCTGTGGCCAAGTATACTCACAGGCCTGTACGTCTCCATACACACGCACGTGTGTAACTGAAATAAGAGCTTCACAAAACAATACTCGCCTTTAACTGCAATCAAGTGTAATTTTCTGTTCTAGTTCTCAATCATTTTTTTAAAAACTATTGGTCACGACCCACTAAATTGATTTCACAACCAATCTGCATTTTTGAAAATGCTTACAGGCTGTAGTCATAAGAGTCCAGAACAGGAAAACAGGCTAACAGATCACCATCTGATTTTGAACAGCAAGAAGGAGAGCCAAAACTCCCAGTGTTTTCTGCAGACAGCCGGCCCTTAAGTACTCCCACAGATGTCTGTCCTGCAGGCAGCTTGTGGATGGGCAATGCTTTCATAAGCGAGCTCTCTCTGGTTATTTCTCCCCGTGAGGTTGCATCCTTCTCAAGGACCAGGGCCCCGTCCCTGCTTTGTATACCATTCCAGGCCCCGAAGGCCCCAGCGTCGTGGGGCTCAGTGACTAAGGCGACCCAGATTGCTTCCTTGGCATACACATTTCGTATTTTGCAAAGAGGCAAAGGGGTCTGGTGGAGGGGCCCACCTGCCAAAGGCCTTCCCGATGGCTGAGGGCCGGGCTTCATAGTAATACTGCTTGTATTCATCCATCCACACCTCTGCAGTGCGCTTGGTGTTCCTAAATGGAGAAGAAGGAGCAAAATAAGGTCACCAGGGCAGTGACAGAGTTAGGGCTGGGATCAAGAGCAGCTTTGTGCAGCACAGGGCAATGAGACTCTTGAGAGTGTATGCAAAACAATATTGACTGGGGTGGTACCAATGAGTGCAGTCTTTCTGGAGGACAATCTGTCAGTTTCCACCTCTGTAGGTATAGATACTCTTTGACACTCCACTTCGAGGAATCTATTCTCTGGGACTACCAGCTTGTGGGTAAAAGGGATATCTGTGTAATAAAACACTGGCGACAACCTAAATGTCCTTCATTCAGTAGAAGAGCAATGGACTATTCCCACATGCTGGAGTACTAGGCAGCCTCAAAAAAGAACATCATGGTTAGTACGCACTGACACAGAAAGATGCCTACAAGTTGGTGTTGAGTGGCAGAAAAGCATGCTGCTGAAAAAACACACAGCACAACCCCATTTACAGAAAAACACAAACTCATGTTCTCTATACAGCAACTATACATATATGAAAATTAATTAAAAGGCCTGAAATGAAGGGCCAGAAACCTATTAATAGTTTGGAGAGATAAGTGGGATAGAAGTAAGACTGGGTAAAAGAGACCTTTACTTTTTTCTCTATGATATAAAGAGTAAGAACAGTAATGTAGAATATATGTACAGATATGTATATATAATGTGCATCCATACACTTTGAATTTTTACAGTGTACATGTATTATTTTTATAATTACAAAAACAATAAAAATAGGATGAGGGAAGCAAAACAAAAAGGTCATTGGATGAGCTGGACTTGGGGAGCTACCGCGGCCCACAAGGGAGACTCATCCTCATGACACTCCTCCCACCCTCCCCTTGCTGCCACCACCAGGAGAGCGGGTGATGGGGGTGGTCTTCCAGGACTACCTCTGCCCCCTCTCCTTGAAGGTCAAGTGCATGCCGTGGCTGGGGACACGTGTGGGCAGATGCTGACCAAGTCAGGGTCGGGACATGGTGTCCATGGCCAGTGTTTGGGACCCAGTGAGTAGAGGACAGCTCCCAGTTGGTCATTTGGCCGGTTTTCAAAGACAGTCAAGACAAGAGAGGCCTGGTGGAGACACTCCCAACCTCATCCTCTGAAAGTACCTGGAGTCCAAAATGGGAGGGGGAAATAGGGAAACTGAGGCCCAAAGAGGTGGGGTAACTGCCCAAAGTCACACAAGTAACTGACAGCGCGGGGGTCTAGGTGCCCTGGCTCCTAGCAGGGTGCTCTTTTCACTGTGACCTACCTGATGTAGGTGAGGGCATTGCCCTCAGGGAAGTTGTAGGGGTGCCGCTTCCTGAAGACGTGGCCCACACGGCTGCAGGGCACGATCTCCAAGCTCCCTCCGCACATCCACACCCTGAAGGAGAGCTCTGCAGGAGATGGAGGCCGTCAGGATGAGGAAGAGCCCCTGGGCAGGTCCCCACTGAGTGAAGGTGGGAAGGAGCTGGCTTCCCTTGCCTTTAGTGTCTCCTTGGAGGCACGTGCCGGGGTCGGAGCTCCTGGGCCTGTTTACATGGGCGCACCTACTCCCTGCACATGTTCCTGACTGCTCCCTCCATGCGTGTGCACACACATCTCCCCCCCACACACCACACAACCCCTCCACACATACACATATCCTCCCTTCATCTCCTCCACACCCACCACACACACCCTCCACACAGACAACACATACACACCCACCCTCCATACCCTCTGCACAGATACCACACACACTCCCCACATCCGAGCTCTGGGAGAGCAGTGGGGAAAACTTTGCAGGGACACCAAGACCATGAGTAGAAGGAAAACTGAATCCAACCATTTCCAGCCTCTGTCTGGAAAGTCCTATCCAGACATGAGCTAAAGAAGAACACATCGGCTTGTCAGTCAGGGAAGGCTGGAAAACTAACACCAATCAATCTGAAGGCTGCTCAGCTGGTGTCTTCCAGGCTGGCCCAGACCTCGCTCTTGGCCCCGGTGGTCTCCATTCACAGGCTACCACTGGCCCTCTTGAGACACGCTTCCTTTTGATGGTGGTAGTGATGCTGAACGAGCTTTTACAGATGCCTACGGGCCTAGTATTGTCGGGAGATAAGAGCAGCGGCCATTCTGCCTCCCAGAAGGGGATGTCACAAGTTGCCCACTCTGTCACTTCTGGCAAAGACTCACCTTGACATCTGGCTGAACCTCACAAAATCTCTTCTGATTTCCTACTTTCTTTCATTTTAATCCTATAGTTGGACATCTTGTGACATTGAAACACCTCCCTCCTGCCCCAGAAAATACATAGTCCTTCTTTTTGTTTGTTTGTTTTTGATTTTTTTAAAAAAGGAAAGAACATTCTTTCATGAGTTCCAGCCTTGGTCCCTTTTCCCACTCTCCAGTTGGCTGTAAGGACTCTTGTGGTCCCTAGCGAGGCCCGGGGGCTCTCACCGGGCACAGCTGGTCAGGGCCCTCCCAGTGATTATCAGAGTAGGGAGCAGAGGCGGCAGGACTAACAGCCACCTCCTGGCCAGCCTGTGTGCCCCAGGCGACTCCCCAGTGTGGTCCCGGGACCAGGGCTGGACGTTCAGCACATCTGGACCGACACCCAGGGTTGGCTCTGTTCATGGGCTTCCCTAGGTCTGCCTGCAAACTGCCAGGCTTCTGCCCCATCTCCTGGGCAGAGCTCTGCAGCTGGTTCAGCAAGTGAGATTCAGAACCGGGTATGGAAGACCTGCGTTCGGGTTCCATTTCTGCCAGACTAACTCTGTTAAGCCAGTTGGGTCACTTTATCCCACTCAGCCTACATCGTCCATGCTGTTATTACTACTTATTGTCATTATTATCAACAATGGCAGTAACCATCATCCACTTAATGGGCCCTTCACTCTGCGCTCTTTATAGCTGCTGTCTAATTCTCACAGCAATCATGCGACACTGGTGTTATTATCCCCGTGTTTTTAATAAGGACCATGAAGCTCAAAGATGTTAAGTAACCTCTCCAAAGTCACCTACACACTCAGTTGCAGAATTACAATGTAGAGTTCCCGCACTGTCCAGCCGGTAGCACTTGTTGGAATCAGATTCTTTAGTTAATTCAGCAAATTTTTATTGAGGACCTATTTATTATAGGTCAGACACTGTTCTAGAATCCCTGACACCCTAGTAGGGGGAGACAGGAACTCAGTAAAATAAGAAACAAAAAAACAAGCAGGCAAGAAAATGCATAGCATATAGGCCTTCCAGCCAATGGTAATAAGCACAACGGAGAGGATGGAGCAGGTAGGAGATAAAGGAAGGTGAGTGGAGTTGAGGGCAGGGCACAATTTCAATGAGGCTGATGAGGGAAGTTCTCATGAATGGGGACTGGCCATTTGAGCTGAGACCGCAAATGAGGTGAGGAAGAGTCACATAGATCTAAGGGAAGCGCGTTTGCGGAGCAAGGCAAAGATCTAGAGGTAAGAGCTAGTGGGCAGGAGTGGAGCGAGGCGGGGTAGGGGGAGGAGCAGCAGGAGCTGAGGGCAGAGCTGGTGGTGTGTGCTTGTGGGGGGAGGGCAGATGGAGTAAGGACCAGGTTTTGCTCTCAGTGATGTGGGAGCCCTCGCAGTGAAATGATCTGACTACGTTTTAAAACAGTCCCTAATGTGAATCCCAAAGTTTTCACGTTTGCCACCCCCACTCAAGGTGGCCTCTGGGTTCCCGAGTTTGGCTCTCTCGGGGGACACAGGAATGATTTGGTTTGGGCATCTCTCTTCCTTCAACAAAGGGATAAAATGAAAGGCCCAGATCCACCAGCGGCGGGAGTCTCCTGGCTCAAAACTGGTCCCAGCAGCTGAACGTCTGAGCAGCCCGACTAGCCTAGGAATTTCTTTGAATTTCTTCGAAGAAACAAAACCCTCCCTAGGCCCACTGTGCGGTTCACCTTTCAAGTTCCCCCACCACTGAGCCCTGGCCTCAGGCAGAGTTTGAAGTTAGCTATTTGATCATTCATTTGTTTCTCCATCAGGCCCCAGCCTAAAAAGAAGAAGAAAAAAAAAAAGAAGGGAAAAAGAAAAAGGCCTCTGGAAGCAGGAGAGACCATCGGTTTCCCAGCCGTCTGAGTCTGTACAGGAAACCAGCTTTGCCAAAGCTCCCTTCAGGCTGAGACTCAGGACACAAAAGAGGTCACATAGGCCCAAAATACATGAAAGGAGGTCGGAATGGAAGGGTCACTGCACCCCAGTTCCCAGAATTTATTCCTCCAAATGCCTGCCTGGAAACGGTTTCCAAGAGTAAATTACAAAAGGGAGAAAATCCCACACTGTTTCCACTCCGGTTGGTTCTGAGTCGGAGCCCATCTGCCCATCTGTGTCCCAATCAGGGAGGGAAGATAGACCTGGTCCTCACGTCCCAGAAACACGGAATCTGACTTGGATCGCACCTCACAACACTTAAGTGGCTCCAGTAAAGGTGAAATCTGCACCTGTCAGACATGGAGTTTCCTGACTGAGACCTGGAAAGCGGTGCCCACTTGTCAGATGGGTGAAAAACCACCAGCCCTATTTACCTCAAGAGAAACCTAGTCAGGATGAAAAAGAGCAGAGGCAAGGGCCCTGCAAAGGACTGACTGGGTCCGCTGCCAGAGCTAGAACAGGCCTTCGTGTTTTATTGGCCTCAAGGTACCTGTCCTGATTCCTCGAGAGCTCGGGGATCGCTCTCTGTCCACCTTCATCCCACTCCTCAGCTGGGAGGCTGCCTGCGTGGCTGCACCACGGGGCTTCCTTCCTGTGTGCAGATGGGTTCCGCCAGCAGGTCGCGGGGGAGAGTGAGGGTGGGTGTTTATCCCCCTGACATCTTCCACTGGCTGCGGTAGGCTGCGGTAGGCTGGCTGCAGGCACCCCCCCCACCGCCCCGAGAGCACAGCTCCTGTAAGGGAGTGCCCCCGCCCCGTCTTCCAGACCTAGGGGTGGCTACGCCTCCCAGCAGTCCCCAGCCCAGCCCAGCACTATCCTGTGTCTTGTGGTTCCTTGTAACTTGCCCACAGAGCCCAGTGTGGCAAACTCCCCTTAGATGATCCACATCAGGTATTCCATCTGTAGCCACCCTTTACCTCACCTGAACCTCATCAGCGACCCTGGGGTGTTCCCTGGCTCTTCCCTTTCCTTCTGGGGCTAAAGGGTTCCTCCAGCTTCATAAGTAATGATAATGGTCATGAGCATTTTAACCTCTCATCTTCCTTAGTACTCATAACAGCCTCTCGGGGAAACTGAGTCTCAGGGAAGGTTTCACATGCCCAGGGCCAAACAGCAGTAGGGCCAGGATTTGAACCCGTTGCTTACATTTAACCCCTATCCTCTACAGCACACCCCTACCCCCAGCTTTTCTGGTAAAGAAGCAGTCACGTGGTTAAGCTGTGGTCTCTGTTACAGTCTGTATTCTGCCCGCTCCCCCATGCCCATCTAACCATGTGGTCACAGGCTCCCCCTGACCACCTAATCTCTTTGTTGACTAGCTGTGTGGCTCTGGGCAAATTACTTGACTTCTCTGTGCCTCCGTTTCTTTACCAGGAAAATGGAGCTATAATAGCACTTACTTTAGAGAGTTACTGTGAGAATGTAACAAGTTAATGTGTGTGAAGTCCTTAGAACAGGTCCTCACATGTAGAAAGTGCTCAATCTGGGTTACTTATTCTTATTCTTATTCTTATTCTTATTCTTATTATTATTATTATTATGGCGGCTATTTCCCAACTTACCAAAATTCTCTCCTCCCCAGATGTCCATCTGGGCATCATACTTTCCCAAATGGTTAAACCAGGACTTGTCAATCACGAAGATTCCTCCAGCTATGACAGGTGTCCTGGGAGCAAGGAGAGGAAAGAGGTAACATGTGAGCTGGAGAAGCTGGACCCCTCTGGACGGCCCCAGGACCCAGGCCATTTGCCTTGGGATCTCCCCACTTGCAGAGTCACTGGGGCTGGTCTCTGGCCTCTGGCCTCTTTCTCTCCAGGGCCCAGAACAGAGTCAGCACTTAGATTGTGCACCCCCAGGAGCCCCAGGAATTGGAACGGCCACCCAGCAGCCTCCAGGGCCCCTGACTCAGAGAAAGAAGGGTTCTCTCCAGAGCCCACAGTCACTCTAACCTAATGGGCTTGGTGGGGTCTGTCCGGGCAATCTTCTGCTCAAGAGGAATCTGCTCCCACTTGAAATGCAGGCTCCAGTCGAATCCTAAGGAACAGAATGGGGTGAGGACGGGGCTCGGGCACTGCTGCTCCACCACCCCTCAGAGTCTCCCTTAATCAGAGCCCAGCTTGCAGAGGACCCTGGGCAATTTGTGCAGTCATTCCTTCATTCAGAATGAGACCCTGTCCTCAGAGGGTTTTAACCTACTGAGTAAGATAGAGACTACAAAGATAAATCAATAAATAGATAATACATCAGTCAAGGGTAAAATGTGCTAAAAAAAAGAAAAGAAAGGAGGTGTGCCCATGTTATTTTAGTAAGGGTAGTCAGGAAAGGCTCTCTGGTGAGGTGACATTTGAGTAGAGACCTGAATGAGGGACTGAACCATGCAGATATGTGGAGAAAGGGAATTCCAGGTGGGGGAACAGCAAGTGCAAAGGTCCTGATGTGATTTCCCAAAGGAGAAAGGCCTGGCTCCCTTCAGAATCCCATTCAACCTCAAGATCTAACAAATGCCTGTGTTTTTTATTGCAAGTCTGGGCCCCAATAGGAAATCCACTCCGTCCATCCCAGCAACGTATTCTCTAGAGCAGCCTGTCCATTCTGCAATGATGGAAATGTCTGCACTTTCCAAAATGTCCAATATGGTAGACACTGTCCCAAATGGTAGACCCTAGCCACAAATGGTTATTGAGCATTTGAAATGTGGCTAGTGCACTTTAGGAACACAATTTTGAATTTTATTTAATTTTAATTTACACTTAAATAGGCAAATGTGGCTGTTTTCTACTGTATTCTGAAGTCTAGACTTGGACAGCTGTCCGAAAGAAATACAATGCAAGCCAGAAATAAAAGTCACATATGCAATTAAAATTTTTCTGGCAGCCATATCAAAAAGAACATATGAAATTAATTTGAATAATACATTTCTAATGCAACATATCCAAAATATCATCATTTCAACATGTAATCAATATTAAAAAATTACCATAAGATATTTTACATCCTTTCATATGAGGCCTTCGAACTCTGGTGTGTATTTTATCTTACAGCACATCTCAATTCAGACTGGTCACATTTCAAGAGCTCAATAGCCAAATGCAGCTAACAGCTACTATATTCAGCCAGGTCTAGACTATTTCCAGGTGTACATGTTAGGAATCCATGCAAAGTTGAGGGCTCCCCCTCCCCGACCTGCAAGACAGTTTTCATATCATGTTCCTCTGCCAGGACTTGTGGCCATGGTCCCTGGGCTGGCCGTGTTTGAGAAGGATATGTCAAAGTTTGGGGGAGGGAATGATAAGAGATTAGCTTGGCTCTGCTCCTGACTGTGCTAGGAGCCTGCAGCCGCCAGCTCTGATACTTTGTCCCCAATACCAGGGCTCTAGATAATCCCTTTTTCTGTAGGTAAGGGGGATGTGAGACATTTTGGCACAGCTGGGAAGAAGAACACCGAGCCAAGGCTTTGTCTGGCCTCGCCTGACTCCTTTCAGGTCTAGAGCCCCTCCCCTGGGACCTGGACCCACCTCCTCGAAGGTCAGCAGATGCAGCAAGATAAGCGAAATTATCCAGACTGATGACATCAATGATGGGGCTCACCACACGGGTGTGGTCCTAGGAGAGGACACACGAGATGGTGTGAGGCCAGGGACTCTGGGAACAAAGGCCCCACTGCCTATCCTGGGAAGAAATTCTCTCCAAGGCATGGGGCACTCAGCATTTCCTGTAAGACATGCTGCGGGCTCCTGGGAGCTGTCCTGCATCACCACATCCAGGCTCCTGAAAGGTCCCACCTGGGTCTCATGGGCACGGTGCTCTCCTAGCCTCTTCCTCTCACATCATATTGAGCCCTGCTGGGATCTCACCTCCTCACTGAAGCCCTCCCTGATTGCTGCAGGCTGAGGCTTTCTTCCTTTTTAAAGTCGCTCTCATAATTACAGTGGACATGAATCATGCGTTGCCTGAGGTAGCTCTTCTGTCGCTGCTCTGAGCTGTTGTTTTATGAATTTTCGTCCACCTTTGTACTTGTTTGAGTTGAGTCTTCCCAAATGGAACACCAGCAGCTTGAGGGCAGGGACCCTGCAGTCCCTGTGTTACCTGGGTGTCACTCTTCTCACACTTCATCCATTTCAAGGTCAGACCCACACTCCATAACCTCTCAGACACAAATCTACCTCCAAACATTGGTGGGTAATGCTGATTTTACTGAAGGTGTTATTTATTTTTTTTGAGGCAGGGAGTCGTGATTATATCAAATATCACAAGCAAAACTTCAATGCACTCTATCAGTCCTCTCTTCTCTCTCCCTCCATGGAGGGACACAGGACAGAGACTCTTCTCTCTCCTCAGTTGGTGCTGACCATCAAAATCCTCTTGTTGGCGACTTGGAATCCAGCTTTGTTCCTTAGTTCACACCCCGTCTCAGAATGACAAAAATGTGGGATGTGGCAGATCAGGGGAGACCATCCACGGTTTCTCACAGTGCTCTGTGGGGGCCTCACCTTATCCTTTTTATAGACTTTTTGGTATGAGATATAATTCACATTTTTGTAACAGTTTTATTAGATATAATTGATATACCATAAAATTCACCATTTTAAAGGGTACAATTCAGTGGTTTGTAGTATATTCACAAGGCTGTGCCACCAGTACCTCTATCTAATTCCAGAACATTTTCGTCACCTCAATAAGAAACCCCATACCCATCAGCAGTCACTCCCCACTCCCTCCTCCCTCCAGCCCCTGGCAACCACTAATCTACTTGGTATTTCTATGGATTTGTTTATTCTGGACATCTCAGATAAATGGACTCATATAAGAAGTGGCCTTTTGTGACTGTCTTCTTTCACTTAGCATGAGGTTTTTCGAAGTTTATCCATATTGTAGCATGTATCAGTACTTCATTCCTTTTTATGGCTGAATGGTATTCCATTATGTGGATAGACCACATTTTGTTTACCCTTTCATCAGCTGACAGACATTTGATTGTTTCCATGTGCTGGATATTCTGAATAATGCTGCTCTATCTGACCTCTCGTGTATAAATTCTTGTTTGGGTTATGTTTTCATTTCTCCTGGATATATACCTAGCAGTGGAATTGCTGGGTCATATGGTAATTCCATGTTAAACTTTTGAGGAGTTGCCAGACTGTTTTCCAAAGTGGCTGCACCACTTGACATTCCTACGAGCAAGGTATAAAAACTCTTTATTCATATCTTCACCAGAGCTTGCTACTGCCCCTCCTTTTGATTATAGCCATCCAAGTAGGTACCAGGTGGTGTCCCACTGTGTTTTGATTTGCATTTCTCTAATGAATTAATGTTGAGCATCTTTTCATGTGCATCTTTTCATGTGCATGTTGACCTTTTGTCTATCTTCCTTGAAGAAATGTGTGTTGAAATCCTTTGCCCATTTTTAAACTAGGTAACTTGTCTTTTTACGGTTGAGTTGTAATCACTTCATCCTTTGCTCCATGTGTCCAAATCATCCTCATTTTAGAGAACAGCAGGCATCTGGTAGGGCCCCCCTGCCCTCATCTCTCCTTGAGAACACCACCCTCTCCTCCCTCCTTCCCAGGTTTCCCAGCCTGACCTACCCCCCCCCATCATAGGACCCTGCCTCCCCCAGGGGGAAAACAACACCCATTCAGAGTCGGAGCTTTTATGGCTCAGGTTTTCAGCCAATTTAATTCTCACCACAACCTGGTGGGACAAATCTGACAATTATCCCCATTTTCAGATGAGAAAGTTCAATGAGGTGAAGACACTCAGGAGGGAGCAGGCCATTTAGGCTTCCTGATCTGCCTGGCCAACTCCAGAGACCGTTCATACCCTCTCATGCCAAGAACAGAGCAGGCACAACCTGAGGGACAGAGCTTCCCCAGGGACAGACAGACTCACCTCCTTCACCCGCTGCAGCATCGGTTGCAGCCACTCGGTGTTCACTTCGCAGTGGCTGTCCAGAAAGGTGAGGACAGCAGCTGCGGCCACATCTGCCCCACGAACTCGGGACCGGATCAGCCCTGCAGTGAGAGTGGTCAGGGGTTGGTGCTGGGACTGAGCCAATTTGCTCAGCCATCCCCCTAAAGTCTCGGGGCTCTCCACCCCGGAGGGCTGAAGTTTCCTCTGAGCTATTATGATTTTACTTCACTTTGTATTTGTCATTTCTTCCTTCTCTCTTTTTCTTTCTTTCATCCATCCATCAACCACGACTCTCTGAGTGCCCTCCATGTGCCAGATCCTAGGCTCTGGGGACACACTGATGAACAGTCAAGAGTTTAGTGAACACGAGTTGCAGTGAAGGGTACATTGGTACCATAGGAGAACCAGAAACCAAAACCTTTCCCCTCCATCACTTAGGAACCTCAGGGCGGTCCATCCAGCTGCACCATCCTACGTGACATGAGAGAATCTTCTAGGCTAAGACAGGTTGGAGTTAGAATACCAGCCCCTTCACTCACCTCAGCATATTATTTAACCTCTCTGAGCCTTGGTTTTCGTACGTAGAAGATTTAGAGAGAATACTCTCTGCCTGCCGGGGACAGTGCCTGGTGCCCAGGAGGCCGGCATGTGCTAGATTCTACTCTGCTGCCACCCCGTTCCCCACAGTCACACTGAGGGCTCACCCACTGTCAAAAAATGACCTCGCTTTCGGCAGCTCCCTGGTCAGGGCTGGGGACTTGCCTGGTCAGAAGAGAGGAGGCCCAGCTGGTCCTGCCCCTGACAGAGCAGCCCCTGGTACCCTGGGAGCTGTGGGAACAACCTGACCCTAAGAGCACGGAATACAAGTTGCTTCTTGGAGAGATTTCACTGGCCACATCTCTGCCTGGCACAGTGCCTCTACCCACCTGACTATCCATCCATCTGTGCAAATGTCCATCTGTCCCATCCTTCTGCTCCACAGGGAACTATAAAGCACCTAATCATAAATTTACAACTGTGTTGTTAGCCCCAGGGAACAGCATATTCTCAAACCTAAAGGCACCTGGTGCTTGGGAGAGAGCTCTCTCTGGCTTCTTCCATTCCAATCTGAAGGTCCCCTTGGCTTGACTGGTCTTTCTTAAATACACTCATCACATCTTTTTTTCTCCCTCTCTTTCTCACCTTCTGTGGCTGCCTATACTCTGCTCTATCACGTCGAAATACCTTTCTCTGGCCTCCAAGGCCCTCTGTCATCTATCCTCACCCCACTCATTCCCTGTGCTGATCAGGCCCCATTCCCCACAGGGAAAGGAGACTAAGTAGGCGGAGGCTAAGAGGCTGGGCTCTGGGTGGGCCCCCTCCTCCGGGGTGGAATCCTAGACCCTCTATTCATCACCCCAGGCAAATTACTGAACCTTCTTAAATCTCAGTTTCTTCATCTGCAAAATGGGATAATGGGCTGTTATGATGACGTGCAAATGTAGGCAAAGCGAATGCTACAGGATGAACATGCAGGAAACGCAGGAAGGGGCTGTTAGTATTACAGGTACCCAGGCCTCACTGATGCCTTTGCTTGCGGAGTCCCCGTACCAGCAATGCCCTCCCCTGTACGCCATTCCCCTGTCTCACAACCCCCTCACCCAATCCAGACCCCTCTCTGTCACTTCCCTCTCCTTTGGCTCCCTCTCCTCCATCTCCATTCTACCCCCACATGACTATAACCAGCCCTGGCTTTGTAATAAGCTCTCCAAGGGCAGGGGCCACATTTTATACCTTTTGTGGCCCCCTAGAGTGCCGTGCACAGTTTTATGCTGTCGTCAATACTCCAAAACACCTCTTGATTGAAAGTAAGGTTACAACTGCTTTATGCTGCCCTGTGATTTTCTCAAAGCATTTAATCCTTACAATAACCATGCAGGGCAGAAAGGGTTCTATTATTATTCCCATTTTTCAGAAGAGACATCTAAGGCAGCCAGAAGTAGAGCTGCTTGCTTACAGCCATGCTGTGGTAAGGACTGACCTGGGACAGCAGAGTCTTTCCACAGACCTTTGTCCTGGCCACCAGGGATGCAGCAGGACCACACTGGCTTGGTAGGACATGATGCCAAAAGGGAGTGAGGAGGTGCAGAAGTCTAGACCAAAATGGGTCTGTGGTGAAACCCAGGGTCCAACTTACCTTCCCGCCGGTCATTGCGCAGGCACTTGACCTTGGGAATCCTGGTCAGGAGCAGACAGTCTTCAGCTGAAGGTAGAGAGAAAGAAAAGCAAGCTCATTCAGACATGGACATCAGACCACATGTGGTTTGACTGCTACCAGGACTGCCCAGGAGCTGTCCCATACCAGGTCCAGGGAAAGGGCTGGGGAAGGGAAGCGGGGAGCATGGTCATCCCTGCTGGCTAAAGAATTGCCCTGCCCCACTTCCAGACTGAGAGATGCCTGTACTTGTGGCATTACCCCCAGGGGGCGCGAGAGAGCACCAGCCGGTCACCAGTCCAACACCCGTGGAGCTAGATTGTGGCGACAATTCTCAGCAAATGGCAGCTGTAATTATGAAGGATGCTGCTGCTGTTTAATTTTTTTTTAATGTCATCTCACTGGTGTCTCATCAAAGCAACACCACTCCTTTAGCACCAGGGAGCAGAGGCAGGGAGGGCATCTAGAAAAGACTGAAGATCCTGGCAGGGAGCAGAGGTCAGCCTGTGATGGCCAGGACAACCTCAAGAGTGCCTGCCTCAGCATTCTGGGGGTGTGGAGGGGTGCAAAAAAAAGTAGATACTTACGATCTGAACTGAAGTCATCCACTAGAATGATCTCCTGGATCAGGCTGGCAGGAGTTCGATTCAGGACACTAGAGCAGTGACAGGACAGAGGACCCTGGGTATAGGGGCCACCTTCCACTTCCCTCTCCCCACCACCGGCTCCCCCACTGCCCAGCTTGGGGGCCAGCACACTGGCTAGCTAACCTTCTAGGCCCTGGTCAGTGGCTGAGAAGTAGTGTATTCCTCAGGCTCCTCCAAGAACCCACTGACCCTGCTGCCTGGACCTTCAGGCACTTGTGACCCACCCCAGATGAGGGGTGGGGACTGCCCTAGTTTAGCTTTTGAGACAGGGCTTGTAGCTGCCTGGGCTTAACAAGCTTGCCTGAGGGCAATCCCTGCTGGCCCCGGAGCTGCCTGCCTGGAAGGCTAGCAAGGCTCCTCTGGCCTGATAGGTCAGGAGGAGTGTTCTCAGAAAGCTCCCCTGACCCACGCACCACCCGACTCTTCCATCCCTCCTCTTCCTTCACTCCCTGGTGAAGGAAATCTTAGCTTCTTAATCCCTGGAATACCACTAGGTACTCCACTCTGAATCCTACTCTTATCTAAAAGTTCATTAAAGAAACGGGGTAGGGGGGAGTAGACGTCAAATTTGATCCAAGGCCAAGCTTAGGAGGACAGAAGGGGCACTTCTCTCTGAGTCACTGACAGTTTCCTATCGGGCCAGCATCCATCCACCTGAGGCTTCATGTCCATCCCTGCCTCCCTCTGGCTCATGACTCCTGCCCTCATCCTGAGGATCTGACCTTGTGTTTGTGCATCACGCTAACAGCTGGTCTTCTCGCGTCTCCCTGTCCCTGATTCGCCAGCCCCAGCTTGTCTGAAAGTCAGGACTCCCCAGTGCCCACTGGTCTTCATGCCACCCAGCCACAACACCCTATCTCAGCGTCCTCTCCTACTGGGACCCAGTGGATCCCCAGGGGAGCAGCACCCCTGAGATAAGGGTTCCAGGGCGGGGCTTACCTCTTCACTGTGCGCAGGAGTGTAGAGCGGGCCTCATTGTGGAAGGTGATGATGACGCTGGTGGCCGGCAGGTCCGAAGAGTAGGACACGGAGGGGCAGCTGAGAAGAGAGCAGAGACGTCAGAGAGCAGCTCTGGGAGCATCCTCAGGGCAGGCTGGAGTCCTCTCTCTGTCCAGCCTGCTGCCTCCTGCCCCTCCATGCCCGCGCTTCATCCCTCTCGGCCGCCCAGCCTGGAGCCCTGGGAGGGAAGTCTAGGTTGGGGGATCGTTCCAGGTCTGGGTCCTCCTTACCAAAGACCTAGAGCATGAACCCCACAGGCACCGAAGTGTTTAGGAGGGCTCTGACCGTGTGCAGGCACCACACCCGCCCTAGGATCCAGCCCCGGACAAACAGATAGAATTCCCTGCCCAATGGAGCAGCCAAGAGACAAAATGGCAGAGGGGAGAAGAGGGAACACAGCCCCTCTTTTGTCTCTGACATCCTGTTGCTTCTTCCTTCTCTTCTCCTGGCTCACGACACCTGGCAGGATCCGGAGAGGAATCATCCCATCCTGCTGCTATGAATTCCTCTGTCTTGCTGCTGGCACTAACAGCCAGGCTGGCGATACCAGGCAGGTGAGCAGGCTCACTCCTCCCACCGGCCCTGGGATGCCTGGGCGGATGCTGAAGTCTCTGAGGAGACCCCAGAGGCAGTTGCGGCTGCCCACTCCCTCCCCCAGCAGCAGCTGTGTGCTCCGCCTTCTCCAGACACCACATTTTGGGCCTATTGGCTTCCCTATCCTCAGGAAAGCGAATTAAAATGATCCATCCTGCCAGCCTCCATCCCTGTCGTTTTCTGCAAATGCTTCTGTGAATGCGTTTATTCATGCTCCTGGGGCCGGAGGGAAGGCAGCCACAGAGCTGGTTTTCATGGCAATCTTCTTTATTACAATTGCTCTCCGACTATTCCAGCAGTGACTATTTTTTCATTACGGCATTCATTCCACTGACACAGCTTCCCAGGCCCACTCCTGCCCGGCGGAGCAGCCTGCTCAGGTCAGACAGGCAGGAGTTCCACCAACCTGGGACCCCTATGGGAGAAGTCCTGAGAGGCCTTAAAATAATTCTCCTTGAGAGGGGATGTGGGGGAGTGGGAGGGGCAGGGAAATTCACCACTGCCCCTAGGAAGCCAGGTGTCCTAAATGCCTGTCGTCTCAGAGGCTTGTGGCATTGGGGACAGGAGTGGACGTGGCCTGCTGAGCTGGGGAGCGCTGGGAGAAGCAGCCACCTGGGCGCCCCACCCCCGAGCACTGACCTCTAGGCCCCAGGTCTCTGTTTCTGAACTCCCCCCTCTTCTAGTGCCTGTGAAGGAGGGAGTCTGGATAGCAATGTCCATTCTCCACTTACAGAGGGGACGGAGGCGGCTGCCCTTCAGGAAAGGAGCTTAGACTGTTCGCACAGGTGAGGCAGGAAGAGGAGAGATCGAAGGTGGACACTCAGACCATTCAGACAGGGCTCTACAAGGGCCTGAACCAGGGATGGGGGCCGATGGCTTGCCCAAGGTCAGTCACTCACACTAAGCATTGTCCGCACTGGGATTAACACGGGAGGCGTCCTTGATCCCAGTCTAGGGCATCTCCTGCCTACCACACTGGACGAGCAAAGAGCAAGACTGGGAAGGATTTCTGGGAGTCGCTGTGGAAGCAGGGACAGGAAGAGAGGAAAGAAAGGAGACCAATGGGGCACCTCCTGCACAGCCCAGGCCGGACTGGGCCCTCTTCACCTCAGGCACCACCAGCTGGGCACCAAGAACGCCAGACTCACCCCCGTTGGCCCTCCCTGTGGTCCCCTGGCTGGTCACTCTTGCCGGGACTCCAGACTGAGGTACTGAGGGGCCTCTCTGGCCCCGCTGGGACGTCTCCTTGGACTTCTCAGTCCTCAGGAGGTCCATGAAATAAAGAGGAGTCAGGAAACAACTGATGGTAAGGGTTTGAATGTCTCAAGTAGACTGAGTCTGAGGAAATCTTCCTCGTTTTTTAAATCCATGTGACTGAAAGGAAAGCCATCTGGTGTTGGTCCTTCCCTCCACCTCTCCTTCTCCACCGACACGATGGAGGCCCCACCTGTAATGGCGGGTGTCCCGGATGGGCCGGTCGGGGCTCAGCTTGTCGCTCTCCAGCTGATTGAAGGCATGCTGCCTGTAGGGGTCCTCTCCCGGCTTCAGCTGCTTGGCTGCCAGGTATGCCTTCTCATCAAAGCCTCTCGAGGGCGTTCCTGTCACCTGAGACAAAGGTCAGCATCAGAGGGGTCACAGGCAAGAAGACAAAGTAGCCACTGTGTGGTAAGACGTACTCCCAGGTGGAAGCCAATTGCATTACCTCATGTGTACCTATGAGGAGACATTACCTCCCCCATTGTACAGATGAGGAAACTGAGGCTCAAGACAGTACCTGCAGTGGGTACTGTATGGAGACAGGGAGCATGCAGGAATTCTCTGTACTTCCCACTCAATTCTGTGGGCCTAAAAATGCTCTTAAAAAAATAAAGCCTATTGTGGGGGAGGATTTAGCTCAGCAGTAGAGTGCAGGCCTAGCAGGCATGAGGTCCCGGGTTCAATCCCCAGTACCTCCATCTAAATAAATAAATAAAAACCTGAATTACCTTCCCTCATAGAAAAAAAAATTTAAAAAAATAAAGCCTATTAATAGAAAAACTCATGGTCAGAGCTAGTAAGTCCCAGGTTTCTGGATTCAAACTGTTCTAACTCTGAAACCCATGCTCTTAACCCATGTTCTTTGCTGGCTGTGGAGAAGGTGACACCCAAAACAAGGTATCCTGAAGGGACCGCCAACCAGGCTGGAGGTCACCAAGCAACCTACTGACTGGCAGTCTCCTAGGGATGAACTTGGCTTGACACTGGGCTAGGCATGTACAAGGCACCCCATGACTGAAACACCCAGGGTTTGGACAAGCTGCTGCACAGAGAACCACCTTGGAGGACAAGCAGGCCTTCACAGGCTAATTCCAAAGCTGCAAATGCACGACAGTGATGCATCTTCTCAGGCCCTCGCACTTACTGCTGAAATAGTCTCTGTCAGGCCTACTGGGCTCCCAGTGCTAAGTGCTGGGGAGTGATGGATGATGCCGTGGCCCAGCCTCCCTCCTCTTGGCCACACCCTGCGCTGCGCTCCCATAGTCCCCTCTATGAAAGACACTGGGGAAGGACACATCTGAGATGAATGGAGGGATAGATGGATCCTGACATCTCATTATTTGAACCGCACTGCCAGCCCGATGTTCCCCAGAGAGCCTGGAAATAACATCAACTGTGAGTACATCCCGCCTCCACCCCGTCCGCCTGACCAGCAGCCCGGCTGGAGCTGTGGGCCCATGGAGGGTGGGCAAGAGCTGCCCATGCACAGAACCCCTGCAGGAGGACCCTGCCCCGGGCCTAGTCTCTAGAGGGACCGTCCCAGGAAGACAGCTGGACCTGTGGAGAGGAGACCGCTGGGTTGGGTGGTCCTGGAGAACATCCACCAGCAGCCCAAGGCCTCCACGCTCCCCTGAGAGCCTAGCTCCCAACCTCAAGGACAGGAATGTGAAGGCTCCAGGGAGTACTTATCTCCTTAAGGGCTGCCTCTCTGTAGTGTTCCCACCTCCCAGGAGCCAGTCCTGAGCTCCCTGAGGTCAGAGCCATTGGGGGAGATTTCCCCGTGTCTGCTGGGCCCAGCCTCGTGCCACACACAGACGCTTGGGATGGTGACAACGGCTGTGGCGACCGGCGGCCGTGCTGTGATATTCCGAGTTGGTGCCAGCCCGGGGCTGGACAGATCGGGCAGAGCCCCCGTGGACTTGAAATCCATTTCAGGAAAGACAGAAGGAGGGAAGGAAGGAGGGAGGGGGGAGGGGAGGGAGAACGTTCTGGCTTGAACCCTGGATTGCTAGAAGGACCCAAGCTGTCCAACTGTGAGAGTGAGAATGAGAGCCTTTGTGTCCTTCCCACGGGCGAAAAGAATGGTTGCTAACTCTGCCCCCGTCTGCCTCCTGGCCTGGGGTCAGGGAAATGGAATGCAGCCTCCAGCTGACGTTGGAGGAGCTAAAATAAGAGAAAAGTTGCAGAAACTCCCAAAGAGTATGCCACCGAATATCCCGCAAGTCAACTGAGGGAAATAATCATGTTTATTTATTTAGGACTTAAGGCCGCTCTGTGGGCTCAGGAAACCTCTGAGCCCTCATAACACACCCACCCATTGCCCAATAAACATTGATTGAGAGCCACCCATCTACTGGGCTCTGGAACACCCTTCTGCAAGTTCCAAGGATCACCTGATTCATCCTCTGTTTACGGATGCTTGAGTCCGCTCACTCATTCATTCATACACCCTTTCATTCAGCATTCACACACTATTTCATTCCTGCTGCTGTGCCAGGAAGTGGAAAGAATGCTTCTGACACTGTCCCCATCTCCAGGCTGCATCCTTCCTGCACCTCATTCAGAGCTTCCTTGGGGCTGCAGAGAATGTCCTGGAAGAGCATCTCTAGCAAAGTTCCTCTCAGGGCCTCAGAACTGAGCTAGACATCCTCGAAGAGGCTGTTAGGAAGCACCTGCTGCTCTGTCCCTCAGACCCTTAGCCTCTGATGGTCCAACCCTCCTCCGAGGTTCGACCCTGTGACACACCTTGTGGAGGAAGGCGCCAGGGAAACGCCAGGTCCTGCTCGTTCCTGAGGTCTCAGCTCTGCTTTCACGTTGACCCAGCATCCCTAGGGTTTGGTGCTGAAACATCAGCTGGCCCTGGATACTGAGGAAGGGCAGGATGTGACCTCTGCAGGCTCTCACTTCCTCTCTCTCCAGCCCCTCCCTGGCCTCCCCCAAGTCACCGCCCAGACCTCTTCCACTCGGTGTCTAACCAGTTCACACGCCCACACCATGGGTCACTTCCCTCCAGCTCTTGAACTCTCCTTGCCCTTTGGCCCTGGTCTTTCATCCTGACACTTTCGAGCCTTTGAGTGTCCCACGGCTACCTCTAACTCAATGCCTCAAAACGAATTCTTCGTTGATCCCCAAAGTAGCTGCTTCTCCTGGGTTGCCTGCTGCAGAGATGGGCAGTCCCAGCCACCTGGTCCTCCAAGTAACAAGTCCAGGGGTCACCCCTGGGGCCCTCCTCCATGCTGCACAGCCTGATTCAAACCCTGCCCTGGGTATCCGATGCACAGACTACTAGTGCTAAATCAACAAATATGTACTGAAAGTTGAGTTTGCACAGACACTGTACAGGAAGTCGGGAGGACAGAAATAAACAAAAGTACGGCCCATACTTTTAGGAAATCTAGGAATCTAGATCAACCCTCTTTCCTCCCCCATCCCACACCAGGCCAGGCCAAAGAGGATCACGAAGAAACCCTCACCCTCGACCATAGATCACAGGGAGCACCAGAACTGGCCACGGAACCTCATCCACCCCACTCCCAGCTGGGCAGGATTCCGGCGATGGCGCAGCCACCGTACACTGGTGACCAGCGAAGGCTGCCTCCCTTCTCCCCTCATCCAAACGGGAAGTTTGTTATGCCATCCTGTTCCCCTAGCCATACTGCTTACTAAGCGTATTGGTGAGGGGTAAATGCATCCTCTGGCTCTAGGCTGCAGGACCATGAGGAGCTATATCTGGATCAGCCTGAGAGACCCAAGATCCTGGGCTGGGAGCCAGTTGGAGCCACCAGATGGGACTTGCACTGCTGCCCTTTCTGGAGGGGGTGAGGGCACTTGGGGCTGTTTGTGGAATTCTTATACCACGTGGCACTGACATCTGTGCTTTCCTTCTCTTTCTTTTCCACCAGATGGTGAGCCTCTCATCTTTGAGCTCCCAGCACCTGGCACATAGTAGGTACTGAGTGGATGTTTACTGAATAAAGGAATGAATGAGCGAGGGAATGGATGAATGAATGGATACCTAGATAGTGTCTCTGCTTTCAGCTTACTTATAATCAGCTGGGGAGAGAACCACAGCAAATAAATCAGACACAACACGTGACCTTCGGTGGCTTTCGCTCCCTCTCAGGGGACAAGCTCACAGGGGCCCAGGAGACTCTCTGAGCGGATGCCCTGTCACCTCACTGGACTCAGCTCCTACTGTTCCCCCTCCCTGGCTCTGCTCCAGTCATGGTGTCCTCCTTATGTTCCTTGAGCCTGCCAGCACCTTTCCCCTTAGCGCCTTTGCCCCTTCTGCCTTCTTTCTGGAAAGCTCTTCTCCCAAGTGTCTCCAGGGCTCCCTCCTTCACACCCCACAGGGCTCTGCTCACACCACACCTCCTCTGTGAGCCTTCCCCAACCACCATCTGTAAAACTGTGGCCTCAGCCCCACCCTCACCTTCCCTGCCCTCCTGCCCGCTTTAATCTTTCCTTCCAGCACTCAGCACCATCTGATGTTCTGTGTGTTGTTTGCTTATTTATGTTATCTTTTTGACTGCTTCTTCCCACAAGAATGTAAGCTTCACCAGGGCAGGGATTGTCTGTTTTGTTTAATGCTGGATCCCAAAGCCCAGAACAGTGCCCAACAGGACTCAAAAGCAATGGCTAATGAATACATGAGAGATGAGCTGTCATGACTGCAAGCATCCCTCTTCCCCTCCCCCCAACACACTTGGCTAACACAGAACTGAGGTGTACCAAGGAGGTGATAGGGTAGCTTTTTCTTGTCTTAGGGGGTCTCCTCACTCACATGCTCCTGGAAGGGCTGTTAATCACTGTCCTCCCATCCCACCACACAAGACCCTGGCTAAGCAGATCTTACCACTGCACCCCAGACACAGGGGACTGGTTCAGGAGCAGTCATGTGACTCAATCTGGGCCAATCAGAACCCATCCTGAGACTTCTATAAGATGAGCTCTTCTCATCAGCACTGCTAAGTTTGGGAGGTGAGAATCTTCTTTCCTATCACATGGAGAAATCTTGTCTGGAGAATGAAACCAAGAAGAAAGACTCAAAGCCAAGAGATGGAAAGAAAGAGCTCTAATGATATTGTTTGAGGTCCCTGGAGCTAATCATATCTAATCCAAATTCACTTTGGGTTTTTCCTATCTCTCTCTATCTGTCTATCTACTTACCTCCCTACTACCTACCTATCTGCATTTTTTTCCCTCTTGAACTAATCTGAGTTGCCTGTTCTTCTCTAATAACCAAAAGTTCAGAAATCAGTCCTTTGGTCCTTTCAATGAAAAGAAAATCACTCTCCAAAAGTAAGAAAGAAAAATCAAAAGCAAAAACCAACAACTGAGCCACCAAT